CAGAAGAATAGCCCTAAGTCACAGGCCAGCTTGGTGACCCGGCCTTTCTCATCAGCCCCTACTTCATTCAGTAAAGTCATTTTTTCTAGTTCTATGCTCTTTTAAAGGATCCTTTAATAGATTTTAATTGTGTAGGCAAAATGTCTGCTTTAAGTGAATATATTTTTCAGTTTTAATTACCCTTGTCCATTTAACACGGGCCTTCTCTCTTGTCTCCGATTAAGCAACTGTGATAATCCTTTTTTCTTAGTTAGAACCTGGCCCTTTAGATGAAACTCAGATTGCCACCATATTAAGAGAAATTCTGAAAGGACTTGATTATCTTCACTCAGAGAAGAAAATCCACAGAGACATCAAAGGTAAGGGCCGTCTCCTTCTTGGTGCTTGGAAACGCCTGAGGTGGTGGGCTCAGCTGCACTTCTCTGCTCTGGGGAGGCTGCTCTGAGCCTTCGGCCTGCCTGGACGGGGCTGGCCCGGGGGTCTGGAGAGATGCACAGCCCCCTGGGCCTACCTGTAGGCACGCCAGCTGGCTGGGGAGAGATCGCGTGCCACCAGGTGGCCGTGAGTGGAGCGTTGCGTGTCAGACGCCTGCCTTGGTTTTCTCTTGCAGCCGCCAATGTTCTGCTGTCGGAGCATGGAGAGGTGAAGCTGGCCGACTTCGGAGTGGCGGGCCAGCTGACAGATACCCAGATAAAGCGGAACACCTTCGTGGGCACCCCCTTCTGGATGGCGCCCGAGGTCATTAAACAGTCAGCTTATGACTCGAAGGTGAGAGACAAGGATTTGTCCTTGTGGGGTGCCAGGTCTCTTCCCTTGGGCCTGCAGCCTTGCAGCGTTCCCCACCGTAACTCTGCGTCTCTGACCTCCGCTGAACCCGTGTTCTCCTGTCTCCTGGGCACCCTTGAGCACCTTTGTTGTCTGTTCATCCAGCCACGGTCACTGTGGTGAGGTAGCGAGCAGTGGAGGGTGGGCTTGTGTGCAGAGAGAAAGGGACTCTGCACTGGCCGGGGCTGAAGCCCTGCAGAGAGGCTGAGGGACAGGGCCTGCTCAGAGCCCTGTCCAGTCTTCCCAGGGCCTGTAGAGAAAGGAGTGGAGACAGGCCCCAGGCATCCCAGGCAGGATAGGGAGAGAGCATCTTGCAGTGGTGCTACGGATTCTTCCTACGTATTTGGCTCTCAGTTAGGACCCTTACTGCAGTCTCCTCATCAGCACAAAGTGCCACCGCCTCTCCCAGCTCCTCTTACCGGCCAGGTTATCTTCTCCTGGTCTCTCCTGTTCTTCCCGCCCTTTGCCTCCTTCCCTTTCATTTTTGTGGTACTGGGGATTAAACCCAGGGCTCCACACGTGCCAGGCAAGTGCTCCACCACCTAGCCACATCTCCAGCCCTTTTTATTTTGAGACATAGTCTCCCTAAATTGCCCAGAGTGGCCTCGAACTTGTGATCCTTCTGCCTCAGCAACCTCCCAAGTCACTAAGATTACAGGCGTGTGCCACCCTGCCCAGCTCCAGTCAACTCTTAAAACTTTTGAACTTTCAGGTTTGTGGGCTCAGGTGTCCAAGTGCAGATTAGGGTGATGTCAGTGTCTTAGTGTTCAGATATCAGGGATGGGCGTTGGGGGACCCTTCCCCCACCCTCGGGTGCCTCTGTGCCAACAGCTCTTGTCTTGTACAGGCTGCTGCAAGCTTGCCTGTGGCTCTGTGGCTGTCCTGCTGGGCCTGGGGCCTGGTGGACCTGCCAGGTAGCAGGGCTCCGAAGGTACGCGGCTGCAGCTGAGGCCTCCTGACGCTTACTCCCTCCCCCTTTCCAGTGCCCCTTCCATGCATCCTTGTGGGTACCTGGAAGCATCTCTGGGCTGGATCAGCATCACAGGCGCAGAGAGTCTTTCTCCAGAACGAAATCCCAGGCTTCTGTTCTGGTGGTTGCAAGCATATGCAGCCCGCAGCTTCCACTTAGGTGCACATGCTGATGTCGGAGGCCGGGGGGCTGGAGAGGAAGGCACGCACCGCCCCACGGCATCTTCCCCTTGCTGAACGGGAAGGATGTGCACCTCGGCTTCCTGAAGACGTCTAGATCTAGAATCTCATTTACACAATAACCTCTTGCAGGGGCTGTGACCCTTGTCATTTGGGCTGTTGGGTTGCTCTCAAAAGTGTCTACACACACAGCTTCTCTTATGCCAGTCTTTTTTTTTTTTTTTTTGTTACCAGGGATTGAACTCGGGGGCACTCGTCCTCTGAGCCACATCCTCAGCCCTATTTTATATTTTATTTAGAGACAGGGTCTCACTGAGTTGCTTAGCACTCACTGTTGCTGAGGCTGGCTTTGAACTTGAGATCGTCCTGCTTCAGCCTCCCGCCAGACTCAGTTCCTAATCTTTGCACAGTCCTGACTGCTCATTGGCCTTAATAGCCTTCATTATTACTAATATTTTTAAAAGGGATTACGTAAGCTCTGCTGGTTTCCAACTGTCCCCATATCTTGGAGACAGTGCTGAACGAGAGAACTGTTTCCCACAGAGGGGCCTTGGTCTAAGGCAAAGGAAATTTAATGTTTTTTTCTTTTTAAGATTGTTGGGATGGTCTGTTAGTAAGTAGTTGAACTTGGTGAGGATGCTGCCTTGCTCACAGGCCTTCTCTGCATCCTCTGTGGGGTCAGTCAGCTGCTGCACTGTGGTTGTCCAGGGCTGGGTGCTGGGGGTGCCCTGCTCCTCCAGGTAAGCAGCAGCCCAGGAGAGAAGTCGGGGAGCGGAGGATGGCCTCACACGGGCACCCCTTCCCTCCGAGGCAAGGGGATGGCACTCTGGGAAGGGGAGTCCTTGTGCTTGGGCTGTGGATGCCTTGAAGAGGGTGGAGGGGCTGGGCAGAGACCCTGGCCTGCGGGGACTGCAACAGCGTCCTGGAGACACCGAGGCTGGGGTCAGCAGTCCCTGTAAACAGCTTTTCCCGGTTTTGGTCTCAGAAGCAGCACGAGTGTATTCTTTTTGATGACCTGGAAAATTCTGAAAAATGAAATGGAAAGAAAGGAAGAATATCTGTAGATCTGCCACCCAGGCCAAGTTATTCCACCATCCAGGCATCTCTGAAATAACCGTTTGCAATCTCATTGTGGTGAAAAATGGAAACGGGTGATGTGATAATGGAAGAAATAATGTTATTCAAGCTGAGTGCAGACAGTCGGTTATCCAGGGGGGACTGGGGGTGGGGGACAGGCAGGCAGCCTGCCTCCTCCCTACCGACACTCCCACAATGAGCCTTACACCCTGGTCGCTCTCCCAGGGCCAGGAATCACCCACAGTCCTGGGTGGGAGCAAGGAGCCCTGCAGGTGGGGAAGCCTGCGGGCTAGGAGGTTCCACTCTGGTGTGTATACTGTTGAGACCTTTAGGTCAAGCACACGTTGCTGTCGAGTGCTGGTAAATATTTTCACACCTCTAGATCCCAAGTATAAACATGTTCCTGAATGTTGCATCTGAATATGTAAGTAGCTGTGTTAAATCCGTTTTCTTTTGCCTAGTTTAGTTATAACTGTGACTTGGAGTTACAGATGGTTTTCTTCTTGATTATGGAGAGGTGATTAGGGTACCTTTGAGAATTATTTTTTATGCATAATTTTAAAATATCACTTAAATTGTTAAGTATCTTCAGATTTGTAGCCAGCTTGTTTATTGCACATTGTGTGATGTTGTGAGGACCTGGATGTTGTTCTGTGTCATTCCCCACTCTCTGTTATGTGGAGAAAGTCGTCAACCCTCAGGGACAGGTGATTCTGAGTGGTCATTCAGGAACATGCTACCTAGAAGGGTCTATGTAGGAAGTGATCGGTTCACAACTAATATCTATATTCCAGAGCATCCATCGACCCTTGTAGCTTTTGACTTGGGCTTGTATTAAAAACCACTGTTTGCTCTACCAGTGGTGTCTTAGTATCTGATTTCTTATATTTCCCAAATGGCAGAAAAATGGATTCCTCATTATGCCTCATTTTTTCTGCTTTGGAAGGTGAGTGCCCTTTTTCGCATGACTTTATTTTATTTTAACACATTCTAAATCAGATGCCGTTTCTTGAATGTAGTAATAGATAGATGCAGTCATGTTTGTTAAGGTTCTCTGTAAATGCCGTGTTGTTGGAATATCATGTGATACTTCAGTAAGTTAATGGGCCATAGCAACTTAATCATTCTTCTAAGGTCGAATGTAAATAATGCTGCTCTTGAATGTTTGGGTGGCATATACATCTTCCAGATCTGACATTTATCTAGGTTAGATTCACAGAAGTCAGATTAGTGGGTTTTAATAACTTTGGATATTTTCATGGCTTTTGATGGATTTGCCAGTGTCTTCAGCATTTCTTGATACTGGTCCAGCTTTCCAGGTTTGTTAGTAGGGTGTTGGGTATTTGGAGGACCTGCCAAAGGACCCTGCAGAAGTCCTGGGTATGGGGCAGCTTTGAACCCAGCCAGGAGTAGAAGGTGGGTGGAGACAAAGGGCGTGAGGAGCTCAGGACCACACCCTGGTGCCTGCATGGGTGTAGGAGGATCCAGAGGAGCGCTGAGGAGCTGGGCGGCCCTTGGCTTCTTCCTGGGAGGATGGCCCACATTTTGTCTTGCTGGTGCTGTCCTGGCTACCCTCCTGGGGAGGCCAGGATGAATGGTGCCTGGGCTGGGTGTGGGTAGGGCGGAAGGGTTTCCCCCAGTTAGCTTCAGTTGGTGCACACTGGCACTGGGGAGCAGGGCTGGCCTCTTGCAGGCTTGCTGTCTGTGTGCTGATCATCCAGCGCCACACAAAAGCGAGTCCTCAGTCCTGTGGGGGAAATCGCACAGACACCCTCTGACAGCCAGAAGCGGAGACCACCATCCGCTTTCCAGTTACTGCATTGTGAGATGCTTAGAGATGCAGAGGCCATGTGGGCAGAGCCCTGGATCTGTGTGGCCTGGGGTGGCCAGTTTGCTGGTGGCAGCAGTTCTAAGGAGACCTGACAGGGGCAGGGGCAGACACACACTGAGATTTCAGGCGGAGCCGCGTGTGGAGAACCGCTGCTACAGGAGAGTGGCCACCTGTGCCCCAGCTCGTCCCCTCCTCTTGTGCAGCTCACTTCCTTAGGCCCTCCAGCTATAGCACAGGCTTGGGGGCCTCCCTGCCCGTGGGCACTGTGTCCCCAGTTCCCCTCCTGCAGCTGAGGGACTCAAGTAAATCACTTTTCTGCCAATGTATAAAAAAAGTACACATGCAAAGTAAACCAAGGATTCTGAGTTGTAGAGTGAAGGAAAATGGAGACATTACTGTAACACCAGTTCTTCTAGATTGATCCTTTCAGGATAAAATTTTAAAAATAAAATACAGTGAGTAGCAAATGCATGGATATAACACAGTTCCCCGGACGCTCTGGAGTGCTGGTGGTTCTCCCCTGCATCGTGGGAGTGACCGGATGCCTTGACTCGCACTGCTGCTCATGAGAGACAATTACATGACATGCCACTAACCAGGAAAAGAGCCAGATTCAAAGTGTGGTTTTTTTTTTCCCGAATGTGAATCATTTCTGTACCATTATAATGTTGAACCTTTGTAAGCAAATCATTGCAAGTCAGGGACTATCTGTATTGTTGATTTTAGGCCAGTTTGTAGTTAAATGTTGACACACTGAAGTACTGTGGATTGGGGATTGTTAGGATGGCTGATTGACTTCAAGATACGCCATGGCACCAGACAGAAACCTGTATGGCAAAATGATTCAGGTGATAGGTGCGTAGAGGTGCTGTGTATCAGCGTTTTTCACCTCTGTGCGTGTTTGAACAGAGGTAAGCATTTTTCCAAGTGCTGGACATTGGTGGGAACCTGGCATATTGCATGCACTTCCCGTCCCCTCTCACAGATGAGGAAGGAAGCAAGGCTCAGACGATAGCTCTTGGGTCTAACACCACAGGACTTTGTAGAGCTGCCATCTGACCTGGAGGGGTGGCTGGCCGCATGTCTTCCTTCCCCTGTTCCTCCCCACTCATCTGGCACCCGTGCCCCTGACTCGGGCACTCTGCCTGAGCCCCTCCTATACAAGAGTACCTGCCCTGCCAGTGGTCACACCGCGTCTTCAGTGTGGCGTGGAGGACGTTCTGTAGAGCAGGTTTTCCACTTGTTGCCTATGTAGAAGTTCTATCAAGGGCTTATGAAAAGACATTTTTATCAGAAACTCTAGAGGCTGCTTCTTCTAAGTGTGTTTATTTGAATGTCTTCCTGCTCTGTGTCTCTAAAGATGCTCTTGCTGTTGCAGGCGGACATCTGGTCGCTGGGTATAACAGCCATAGAACTGGCGAAAGGGGAGCCCCCTCATTCCGAGCTGCATCCCATGAAGGTTTTATTCCTGATTCCAAAGAACAACCCCCCGACGCTGGAAGGGAACTACAGCAAACCCCTCAAGGAGTTCGTGGAGGCCTGTCTGAACAAGGAGCCGAGCTTTGTAAGTCTGCATCCCTCGGCGAGCTGTGCGTGGCCCGCCGGGTCTGCTGGCAGTCCCCTGTCACTGGCCTTCTCAGCCCTTATCAGCTGTCTGCTGGATCTCGTGCATTTCTCTCTCTCTTTTTTCATTTTTCTTTTTCTAAATGAGTTTGATTGATTTATTTGAATTGCAAATATGCTCTTACAGCCATTTTATCTTTTAAGGATTAAAAATCTATTTTCTTTCACATTCTAGCATCGCATGCCTCCCTCCTTGAGCCTGAGGAATATTTCTCCTTCATACGATAGGTGGAATCCCAAGTTTTTAATATTTAGAGAGGAGGATCCGGCTGTCAACTATAAAGCTGCCTTTAGTAATGGCAGAGGGTAGCCTGAAAAGTAATGGTAATAGGTCTTCAGAGTCCGTGTGTTCTCTCTTGAGTAGTCAGTGCTGGGAAGCAGAAGATAAGGTGAAAAGGAACCACGCACCTCTTTCTCCTCTTCCTTCCTTCTCTTTTTACATTTAATCGATAATAATAGCCCATAGCAAAAATGACTACCTAGTTTTACCTCATTTTTCTCTCAGAATTAGGGCGGTTCTTTGAAAGCGGTGTATTTTTGTGTTTCACGAAGCATCATGTCCTTGTTTTGAGTTTTCCACTGGAGTTAGTTGAAGGCTAAGCCGGATCCCGCCTCCCCATCGCCACTGAACTCTTATTAGTGAAGGCTGATGATTTTACAAGAGCATTGTGGTTTTTTCATTGGTGCCGGTTCTGGAGAAGGAATTACATGGGGGACAGCATTTCCTAAGCTCTCTAGGTGACGCTGGTTCGTGTTGTTCTGTGCACAGTGGTGTTGGGTTTTGTATCGTGGTTCTAGGCCTGACACAGCACAGCACTCCACACAGCGTGTCCGTGTGTGCATATCTTCCATTAAACACTCCTCTAGTCAGCACACACCCCCTGGCTCTCCCCCATCCCTTGGAGGAGAAGGACCTGAAGCTGTGGCTTTGAGCACTCCTGTGATGTCTGGAGTTCTCCACTGGGGCTGGGGGTACCTGAGGCCACCTGGTTTCTCACCTTCAGGTTGAAAGAGCACTGGCTCTTGTGGACAAGGTCTTAGTAATTTGGAGGGAGTGGAAACAGCCCGAGTCGCTGATGTTTTGTGTTCCTGGTGTCAGGTCCAGGTCGGGCACACTGGGCTTCTTGGGAACTTTGCTCTTTTCCGTAACCAGGTGTGCCATCCTGCAGGGTGGAGCCCTTGGTCTGTTCGTGGGTCTGGGGTGTGGACGAAGCCCTTAGCTCAGTTGCAAGGAGGCGGGAGGGTGGATGACATGCCAGGTGCCTTTCAGAAATGCAGGACAGGGTCTCTCCTGGCTCCCTTCCAGTTTCTTTTAGTGTTTTTATTTTATGATACTTGGGGGTTCCCACCACACAGTACAGAATGTTAATAGTAACATAGAACATGTTCTTCCGTCAGCGTCTGCCTTCGAGAGCTGAGTGACAGTGGGAGAGGAGACGCGCTCTCGGGTGGTTCAGATTATTTGGGGGAAGTTCTCTTGCTTTAATTGGATGTCGAGGACACCATTGGGAACGTCATGTCCACACTGTGCCTGCGAGTCCCAGCCATGGGTACAGAGTGACCCATCTTTGACTTTGAAGTGTCAGTGCGGTCGCTGACATTTTCAGGCGTGAGCCCTTCCTCTGGGATTGGATGCAGAGGCTGAAAGTGCACGGGACCTCATGCTGTTTCCCGTGTCTTTCCAGAGACCCACGGCTAAGGAGCTGCTGAAGCACAAATTCATACTGCGCAATGCAAAGAAGACGTCCTACCTGACGGAGCTCATCGACAGGTACAAGCGGTGGAAGGCCGAGCAGAGCCAGGACGACTCCAGCTCCGAGGACTCGGACGCGTAGGTTGCCGCCCGAGCTGTGCCGCAGATGGGCCGCGGGCTCCTGGGGGGCGGTTCTGGGCATTTCTTAGGTAACCCGCAGGTGGTTTTTGTGGTGGGCACCACGTGGACCCGGCAGGGAGTCTCTTAGCCTCGTCTTTAGCCTCCTGTCCCCATGGAGTCTCCGACTAGCATCCGTGTGAGGGCTCTGGGTGCAGGGAACCTGACCTAGCTTCCTTTCCTGTTCTTAAAGTTCTGACCAGAGGACATTGCCTTAAATACATCTCGAAAGGCTGTGAAGGCCTGCTTCAGTGCCGCTTGCTGTGTTCTAAGAGAAGCTCAGCCTTGTAAAGCTCTGTGTGGGGCAGTGCCTGACCGAGAACCCGTGTCCCGCTCGGCACCCAGGGTTCCGTTGGCTGGAGACGCGGCCTGGAGCTTCCGGCTGGGACGCTGGGGGAGTTGGCTTGGCTGCCCTGACCTCAGGGAAGGAAGTGGCTAGGTAGAACTGGGCCTGTGAGCCGAGCCTGGAGCTGACCTGCTGTCCTGCCTCCCCTGGCCAGAAGACAGCACCCTCCCCATGCCGGGCCAGTGAGACAAGGGTTCTCAATACCCCTGGTGATTCTGTTCATAGCCAAGGCCAAGACCATTGATCTTGGAGGCTGTTGAGGTGTTGCTGCCGGCAACTAGGGCAGTGGCAATGGAGGGGAACAGTGGGGAGAGAGAGGAGAGGGTTTTGAGAGCCATGATGTGGTGATGGACTTGGGTAAAGGAGGCAGATGTGCCAGGTTTTGGCAGCATGGAGTGTGATGTTCCCAGGTGGCCAGGAGATGTGCATCTTGAAGTGACACTGAGGTGTGGCCCTCAGGGAAAGAGAGCTAGGCAGACCACGCAGACTTCAGGGTTGCTGCTGTATGAAAGGTCATCGGAACCCTGAGAACCGGTGGTGTCACTCAGGGTGTGCATTTGCCATATGAGAAGAGCTCAAGTTCTGGAGGCGGGGGACCAGGCCCTAGGAAGCCAGCATGGGGATGAAGATGAACATCGAGAGAGAAGGACCCGTGGGTGGGAGCAGACCAGGCACAGCAGAGCCAAAGCCTGGGCTGATTGGCAAGGACATTGGGACCATTGCTGTTGAGGTTCCAACAGGCCAGGACTGAATAGGCCCCCTTACCAAGCAGTGCTTGGAGGCTGGGGACCTTGGAGGTAGCATGTGGGGATGGGGTGGAAGGTGACAGGTGGAAGCAGTGAGTACAGCTGCACATGCGTGATCTGTGGCTGAGACCAGATGTGGCCATCCACCCAAGAGCGTGATCAGGGGAAGCTGCTTGGAGGGGAGGAAGAGAGAGGGCTTCTGGGTTGGCGGGAAGGAGGCACACAGGAGAGAAGGCAGGCCTAGAGGGGGACTTGCAGGGGACGGGACGTTTTCTCCTGCAAGTTGGGAGCCACCTCTTTTCCTCTGGGAGGCGAGAAGTTCAGGAGCCGCATCTGTTCAGTGATGCAGCAGGCCCTGAGACTAGAGGATCCCAGGGGGTAAAGGGGGTGGTGTGGGGGCACGGAGTGTAGACGGTGGGAGAGGTTTGCAGCTGCGGCGGAGCGTGGGCTGTGGGTGGCCAAGGGCCTGAAGCCAGGGTGTCCACGCTGACTGACTCCGCGGGGTCTTTGTGTCAAGGGAAACAGATGGCCAGGCATCTGGAGGTAGTGACTCCGGGGACTGGATCTTCACAATCCGAGAGAAGGATCCCAAGAATCTTGAGAACGGAGCTCTTCAGCTGTCGGATTTGGAAAGAAACAAGGTACAGTTGCTCATTTTCGAGTGCTAGCACCTGTTGTCCACCAGCAGGCACCTGCCATTCTGTAGGGCCTTCCCTGGGAGTGGGCGGGGTCCTTGAAGCAGTCCTTGGTGGGGCTTTGCCCTTGGAATTGGCAGATCAAGAGCTGAAGTCCTGTCTGATCATGTAAAGATTGGGACCTGAGAGTCCGCATGTGGCTGTGCTGTGGCGCTCTGGTCTCCCCTCCGCTCTGGGCCACAGCGGGACTCCTGACCTCCTGACCCTTGGCCGTGCTCTGGAGTTGGAGTGAGGGGGTCAGGTTTCATGTACAGAACAACTTCATGGTTCTCTTTATGGGACTGTGTCCACATGCTGGGATTACTCATAGAATGTACCATAATTTTATTTAAGACCTTATAATTGAATGTAATCTTTTGGTGCTTAATTGATTAATTGGTTTTATGCCTATTTAAACTTGTGAAAAGCTATATTTTTAGGTCTTTTAAAAGTGTAGTGGAGGATTCGTCAGGCAGGTGGACCAGTGGCTGTCCCTGTGGTCCCAGCCTGCTTGGACGAGTCGGGCAGGTGTTAAGTGTTGCCAGATAGAGGTGGTAACTCCAGAAAGGCCAGGCGCTGCAGCAGCTCCCCTGGCTCCCCTCGATGAGCTTTGGCAGAGAGCACTCCCCATAGAGTGCTGGCCATCCAGCGTGGCCGCCCATCCAGCGTGGCCGCCCAGGGAGTCTTTCTTCCCTTGTGGATTCAGATACTGGGTCCCTAGCGTCATGGGTCTTGCCTGTGACTGCAAACTTTGGAGCCTAGTTGAAGGCGGTAAGATGGTCTTACCCAGAGTGACGGGGGCAGAGAGCATCCGCTCAGCGCGTAGAGCCAGCACGGGCTTTGGTGGGCGGTCTGCTGCGTGCTGAATCACTGCCGGTGCCTGTTCCCTGTTCCTTATGATCTCTCTTTTCTTCCTCAAGATGAAAGACATCCCAAAGAGGCCTTTCTCTCAGTGTTTATCGACAATTATTTCTCCTCTGTTTGCGGAGGTAAGAACCTGGTTGGCTTCCGGGAGCAGGGTGCTGCTCCTGTGGGGGTGTGGTCCGTACGAGGTGGGGCATTGAGATAGCTGGCGTGGGCACGCTTGGCACGTCTGTGTGGCGCCCGTGGCAGGCACTGGGTTCCTTGGTGCCCATGGCTCCTGGTCTGCCTGGGCAGAGCTCCTTGTCGCCCCCCCTGGGAGGTGGTGTGTGGCAGCCTGTTATCACCGTCCGGTTCAGCAGCTTTCGACACCATCTGCTGGCGCCGCCCAGTCTCTGCCCCAGCAAGTGTGCGGCGGTGCAAGTGGGCTTCTAACATTTGAGAGGACGGGCTCCCTGTAGGCCCTGGGCTGCCCCCATCTCTGGGACCCTGCCTGTGCCCTGGGTGAGCCGGTCTCAGCCTGACCCTCCTGCGTCCCGTCCTCATCGTTTATGACCCTCCTTGGCTTGGATGTCAGAGCCAGCTGACTCCCACGCTCTGGGTGGTGAGCTAGGCTTCTCGGGGGGCAGCCGAATCGGGGTCCTCACACTTGAGGCTGGTGGTCTGGAGGACGGAAGTGGCCACCCAAGCTTGTCCCCCCACTCACAGTTGGCCTGCTGTAGAGTCCAGTGTGCCTGTCCACCCACAGTGCTGCCCGAGCCCATCCCAGCTCCCGTCCTCCCAGCTTTCGTCCCTGTGGTCCTGAGGGCCCTGCTGTGGCCTGGGGCATCAGTGCACCTGAAACACCTGAGCACCCCGGGATCGGGGGAAAGCAGTGTGGCCGGCAGGTGGAGCCCCTGCTGCTCGCCCTTTGACTCCAGCCAGACACCGCTGTGCTACGGAGTGGGCTGTGTGGGCCCTTGGGGTTCTGCTCGCTCGCTCCTTGTGACCTGCCATCATCAGCCACCCTAATAGGATCAGGCTGACTAGGAACAACACAAAGGATTTTCTCATTTTCCCTGGACTTTATTTTATACCGAGTTTAAGAAGGAATCAGAAATGCAGCAGCGTCCTAGGTTTTGGGGGGGCTAACCCACAGGAGTCTTTCCTTATGTATGTTTTTTATTAAGATATTTAATAACCTAAAGTTCAAAGTGCTTAGGGTGCATTATTTTAGATAATGAAAGAGAAGGTTATCCCACATGTATGAACGAGGACGGCAGGGAGATGGAGGTGCTGGTGTCTCCGTTACTGTCACTCGGCCCGTGCCAGGTTGCTCACTCAGTGGTGATGGCGCACGTCTGGTACAGCCCTCTGGTGGTGGCCCATTATTCCCAGGGCTGCCCCACTGCCCGTCCTTGTCCCTGCTTTGAGACAGTGGTGTGGCTTCAGAGCAGGGAGCAGCATGGTGGGCCGTACGTCGCTCTCCTGGGACTCGCAGTTACCGTCCTGTGAAGTCGTGGAAGTGCCAGAGAGACAAAGCCACCTCCTGGGGCCCCTCTGTGCTGAAGCCTGTGACCAGAAATGTTCCTGACGCTGTGGGCCCTTCCAAGGTCCTGCCCAGTCCCTGTAGAGCCCTGTTGGGAGAGGAGAAGCCACTGCTCTTTTGGGTGCCGCAGTTCTGGCAGTGACATGTCCACAGTACCCTGGAGGGCCAGAGCTGAGTGTTTTATGAAATATTCATAAAGACGGAAGGGGTCTCCAGGGGTTGCACTGGGGTCTGTCACCTCTGCAGTGCCACCTGGAGCCTCCCCTGGGAGCCTTTGGTCCCAGACTTTCCTAGACCTTCGTAGCTCTCATGCTCCTGTTTCATCACTTGGTCGCATCTTGGGAAGAGACTTGGAACTAGCCATTAGGCAAGGGGGGTGCCTGAAGACGCTGTTGCCGTTTCTCACGGGAGCACAGGAGGGGCACTGTGGATCCCCAGAATTTAGGGCTGCCACGCATTTACCTGAAGGGGAACATTTGACAGCATCTGGACCAAAACGGTTTCTGCTGAAGGGTGTTTTTTTTTTCTTTGGAGGGAGTGGGATTTTTGGGCATTGAGCCCAGCTGAGGATACTTGACAACTGAGCTACATTTCCAGTCTTTTTCATTGATTTTTAAAAAATTTTTAATATTTAGATAGTGTCTCACTAAGTTGCCGAGGCTGGCTTCAAACTTGTAACCCTCCTGCTCGGCCTCCCAAGTAACTGGGGTCCAGGTGTGGGCAACACCTGGCAGGTCTCGTTGGAGTTTCACATCTACCCGTTAAACTTGGAATCTAAGCCTGCAACCCACACCACAACTGCAGTGTTGAGGCCAGAGTAACTTCTGGTGGCCGTGAAACGGCTTCTCTGGGACAAGATTAAGGTTGTAATAGAAAAACAAAACAGAGGACGCCATCGGAATCCAACTTGGAGCATGTGCACGGCTGGCGGTCTCCTGGCCTGCTGCCCTTTCTGTGGAGGAGGGCTCTGCGTGGTGGCCCTTGAAGGGAGCGCTGCTTGGCTTGTGTGCACGTGTCACGCTGCTCTCCCTGTGTTTCAGCTGAAGGAGAAGAGCCAAGCATGTGGAGGGAACCTGGGGTCCATAGAGGAGCTGCGAGGGGCCATCTACCTGGCAGAAGAGGCCTGCCCCGGGATCTCCGACACCATGGTGGCCCAGCTGGTGCAGCGGCTGCAGAGGTAACTGACCGACCTGTGGAGGAGCGCCCTAGGGCATTGGCGCTGGGCTTTCCTCCTGGAGCTTGGTGCCACTGTGGTACTGTGTTTTCTGGGTTGGTCCCCATTGTCCCCCAGCCACAGGGTTACAGCAGAGTCCAGCAGAGGAGGCTCTTTCTGAATCAGTAGGAGAGAACCATGCGAGTCCCAAGCCACTGGAAAGAACCACAGAACTTTGTGCCTTTGTCGCCTTTGCCACAGCGAAAGGATGATTTTTAAATGTCTGTTCTTAACTACGCAGCCTGCTCCTGAGCCGGATTGGCCAGAGGAGTACAGGCCTCAGTCAGACGCCTGTGGCTGCCTGTGGGGTTTGGGCTTTAGAGTTTGTGTCCAGGTGCTGGAAGGTGACTTCTGTGAGAACAGGTGTGGGTAGGTCCTTTTCCTTAGTGGCTAGTACCCAGGCCCTGATGCCTTGTGGGCAGTGGCTGTGCCTGTTCCTACCTGGTGTCCTTGGCCACACGTTTCAGACTGAGGCACCCTCCCTGCTTTTGCTTGGGGAATATCTACGTGAAAGTCACCCCAGGCCACCTTCCTGGCTGGCCTTCCTGGCCTGGAGAGGTGTGTGGGCGGCTGCTCCGG